CCAGTAAATAGTTTAGTTTAGAATTCTGGCTTTGGGAGCCAGGGGTGAGAGTTAAAATCTCTTTTTTCTGGGCACTAGGGAGGGATTTAACCTCCGATCTTCGGATTACAAGACCGATGCTTTACAGGCTAAGCTGCTAGGGCAAGCTCATTGTAGTGCTTTATTTTCTAACCACCCGGCTAGTGGCATAAAAAGGAGGAATAATGCAAAGTACAGTAGGGACGCAATTTGTCCAATAATGATAAATGGGTGTTCAACTGGTATGCCTCCAACCCACGTTAGAATAACTATGTCTGCTACTAGGGCTCAGAATAAGAACTGGGAGATTGGGCGGAATGTTAGTCCTCGCTGTTTTGAGGTGTGTAATAGCGGCACAATTATTAGGACTAAGATAGAGGATAGTAGTGCAAGGACACCTCCAAGTTTGTTTGGGATTGACCGGAGGATGGCGTAGGCAAATAAGAAGTATCACTCTGGCTTAATGTGTGGAGGAGTAACTAGGGGGTTGGCGGGCGTAAAGTTTTCTGGGTCCCCCAGCAGGCTGGGGGAGAATAGTGTTAGTAAGATTAAAGTTAGTAGTATAATTACGAACCCTAGTAGGTCTTTGTACGTGAAATATGGGTGGAAAGAGATTTTGTCCGCGCTTGAGTTCAGCCCGATTGGATTGTTTGATCCTGTTTCGTGTAGAAATAGCAGGTGGAGGATGGTTGCGGCGGTGACGATAAATGGTAGTAGGAAGTGAAATGCGAAGAATCGTGTTAGTGTTGCGTTATCTACTGAGAATCCCCCCCAGACTCATTGGACTAACATGTTTCCTGTGTACGGCACGGCAGATAGGAGGTTTGTAATTACTGTGGCGCCCCAGAAAGATATTTGTCCCCATGGTAGTACGTAGCCGACAAAGGCTGTTATTATAACTAATAGCAGGAGAACTACGCCGATGTTTCAGGTTTCTTTATAAAGATACGATCCGTAATACAGGCCTCGAGCAATGTGTATGTAGATGCAGATGAAGAAGAATGATGCTCCGTTAGCGTGGGTGTTTCGGATTAGTCAGCCGTAGTTGACGTCTCGGCAGATGTGGGCTACTGATGAGAATGCAGTTGAAATATCTGAGGTATAGTGCATGGCTAGAAATAATCCGGTCAGGATTTGGGTGACTAGGCATAGCCCCAGGAGAGACCCAAAGTTTCACCATGCTGAAATGTTAGATGGTGTTGGTAGATCAATTAGTGCGTTGTTGGCGATTTTGATAAGGGGGTGTGTTTTTCGTAGGCTTGCCATTAGTGGTTTTTGTAGTTGAATAACAACGATGGCTCTTCAAGTCATTGGTCTCGGTTAAAGTCTGAGCAAGAATTATGACCTATTTTATGTTTTTATTACTAATAGCCTTGGTTGTTGGCTTAGTTGCTGTTGCTTCTAATCCTACGCCTTATTTTGCTGCTCTTGGTTTGGTGGTTGCAGCTGGGGTTGGGTGCGGAATTTTGGTTGGTCATGGAGGTTCTTTTTTATCATTAGTTCTATTTTTAATTTACCTAGGGGGAATGCTCGTGGTTTTTGCCTATTCGGCAGCTTTGGCTGCTGAGCCGTTTCCAGAGGCTTGGGGTAGTCGATCTGTGGTGGGCTATGTTTTAGTTTATTTATTAGGGGTTGGTTTAGTGGCGGGGGTTTTTTGAGGGGGTTGATATGAGGGCTCATGGGTGGTTGTGGATGGGTTAAAGGAGTTTTCTGTTTTGCGTGGTGACATCAGTGGTGTGGCTGTAATATATTCGTCTGGTGGGGGTATGTTGGTTATTTGTGCCTGGGTGCTGCTTTTGACTTTGTTTGTTGTTTTAGAGCTTACTCGTGGACTAAGTCGGGGGGCCCTCCGTGCGGTTTAAAGAAGGGCCGGGGCGGTGGCTAAGATTAGGGTTAAGATGAAAATGGTTAGGTATGTTTTGATTATTCCCCGTGTGATGTCATTTGTAGTCTTTGATATGGTTGTTTGTGTTAATGCTAGACCTTTTGGCCCGATGGTTTCGAGTCATGTTTTGTCGAGCTGGGTGGCGGCGGACTGTCCTAGGGTGAGGTTGAGTTTTGGGAGGAGTCGGTGGGTAGTTGTTGGGAAAAATCCCAGCATATTTGAGAAGTGGTGCGTGGAGGTTATTGGGGTGATTTTTACTTGTTTACTTGCTACGTTAGCCATCTCAGTGGCCACAAGTAGGCCTGTAATTGTTACTGCAAGAGCTGCTATTTTTAGGGTGGTTGGCATTGTTATGACGGGTGTTTTTGTCGTTAGGAAGTTTTGTGTGATAATTAGTCCTGCAATAATGCTTCCTCAGGCAAGTCGTTTAATAGAGTTAATCACTAGTGGGTTGTTTTCGTTAATTGGGGTCAGTGGCGGGAACCGTGGGGCTCCCATTAGTACAAAGTATACCAGCCGAAAGCTGTACACAGCGGTAAATGATGTGGCAATTAGTGTTAGGGTTAGGGCTCAGGCGTTTAGATAAGAGGTGTTTAGGGCTTCAATAATTGCATCTTTTGAGAAGAATCCTGCTAGGAAGGGGGTTCCTGTGAGGGCAAGGCTTCCAATTGTAAAGCAAGTTGAGGTAGTGGGCATTATATTAAATAGGCCCCCTATTTTTCGGATGTCTTGTTCATTGTTTAGGCTGTGAATAATCGATCCGGAGCACAGGAATAGTATGGCTTTAAAGAAGGCGTGGGTGCAAATGTGGAGGAATGCTAGTTGTGGCTGGTTTAGCCCAATTGTAACTATTATTAGCCCAAGCTGGCTTGATGTTGAGAAAGCTACAATTTTTTTGATGTCATTTTGGGTTAAAGCACAGGCGGCTGTAAATAATGAGGTTAGTGCTCCTAGGCAGAGGCAGGCTGTGAGGGCCAGCTTATTATTTTCTATAAGTGGGTGAAGGCGGATTAATAGGAAGATTCCTGCAACGACCATAGTGCTTGAGTGGAGTAGGGCAGACACTGGTGTGGGGCCCTCCATGGCGGATGGTAACCATGGGTGAAGGCCAAATTGGGCTGATTTTCCTGTTGCCGCCAAGGTAAGCCCTATTAGGGGGACTGTTATGTTGAAGTTTTTTGATAAGGCAAAGATTTGTTGAATTTCTCAGGAGTTGAGGTTTGTTGCTAGTCAGGCTATAGTTATAATCAGTCCGATGTCTCCCACTCGGTTATAAATAACGGCCTGGAGGGCCGCTGTGTTGGCATCTGTTCGGCCATATCACCACCCAATTAGCATGAATGATATAATACCTACCCCTTCTCAGCCGATAAATAATTGGAATATGTTGTTAGCTGTTACTAAGATAATTATGGCTACCAGGAATGTGAGTAAATATTTAAAGAATCGGTCAATATTGGGGTCGGAGTGCATGTATCATAGTGCAAACTCTAGAATTGATCAGGTGACATATAGAGCGATTGGAACAAAGATTAGGGAGTAGTGGTCAAATTTAAAGCTAACGTTGATGTCAAATGTTTGAGTATTTATTCATTGTCAATTTGTAATAATGCCCTCTGTTTTCATATTTAGGAAAACTATAAGGGGTAGTAGGCTGACGAAGAATGCAGAGCTAACGGCAACTTTAGTTATTTTTGCCATGTTGGAGTTCTGTTGGCTGGGGCTTAGTGTGGTAGATAGTGGATATACTAAAATAAATAATATTAGAAGGAGCGATGAGTGTATAGTTAGCGTCATTTTAGCTGTCACTTGGATTTGCACCAAGAGTTTTTGGTTCCTAAGACCAACGGATGAGCTGTTATCCTTTGAAAGCGCAAGGAAGCCGTGGATTTTAACCACGGGGTGTAAGGATTAGCAGTGCTTACTGTTTTCTATTACTTCCTTGGTGAGTAAGGAGGTTTTAACTCCTGTCTTTAGAACCACAGCCTAATATTTTAGTTGAAACTATACTTACAGTAACATCATCCCCACATGAGCTCTGGTTTTGTTATTAGTAGGATAATGGGGATTAGGTGTAGGGTTATTAATAGGTGTTCTCGGGTGTGGAAGGGTTGAAGCCCTATGATGTGGTTGGGTGTAGGGCCTCGTTGTGATATAAGAAATATGTAGAGGGAATAACTAGCTGTGATTAATGCCCCTAGGCCAGTGAGTAAGATTGTTCATGGGGATCAATTAAATAGTGTTGTAATAATTATGAGTTCCCCTATAAGATTGGGTAGTGGGGGGAGTGCTAAGTTGGCTAGATTGGCGGCGAGTCATCATACTGCGGTCAGTGGAAAAATCATTTGTAGTCCTCGGGCGAGTATTATTGTTCGGCTGTGGGTTCGTTCATATGCTGTATTGGCTAAGCAGAATAGTGCTGAGGATGCTAGTCCGTGAGCAATTATTAAGATAATTGCACCTGAAAATCCTCATGGGGTTTGAATTAGAACTCCCCCTGCTACCAACCCCATGTGGCTTACAGATGAGTAAGCAATTAGTGATTTTAGGTCTGTTTGTCGAAGGCAAATTGACCCTGTTATAATAATCCCCCAAAGGGCTAGAATAATAAATGGGTAGGCTAGTTCTTTTGATAGGGGGTCCAATGTTACTATTATTCGTATTATCCCGTACCCGCCAAGTTTTAGTAAAACGGCTGCTAGCACTATTGAGCCTGCTACGGGGGCCTCTACGTGTGCTTTTGGTAGTCACAGGTGGACCCCGTATAGCGGTATTTTGACTAAGAATGCGACTAGGCAGCCAGCTCATCAAGCCATGTGTCCTCAGGAGCTGAGTTGGAGAGGCTGTGAGTATTGGAGTACTAGTATTGATAGGGTTCCCGTAGATTGTTGGAGAAGAAGTAGGGCGACTAGTAGTGGGAGCGACCCTGCTAGGGTGTAAAATAGGAAGTAGGTCCCTGCATTGAGTCGTTCGGCTTGATTTCCTCAGCGGGTAATAATAATAAGGGTCGGGATAAGTGTGGCCTCGAATATGATATAAAATATAATGATTTCTGTGGCACCAAATGCTATAATTAGAAAGGTCTGTAGTAAAGCGAGAAGTGTAATATAAGAGCGTTGTCGGCCAACTGGTTCAGGGTTGATGTGATTTTGGCTGGCTAGAATTATAAGTGGGAGGAGTCAGCATGTTAATACTAAAAGAGGTGTTGATAGGGGGTCTGTGGCCAGGTATATGTTGGAGAAGGCTCATCCAGCTTCTGAGGTCCACTTTAGTCATGTTAGGCTAGCGGAGGCGATTAAGAGACTGTGTGCGGTTGTGGTTGTTCACAGTCATTTGGGGGAGGTTAGTCAAATTGTGGGGAATAGCATTATTGTAGGGATTAATACTTTTAGCATTGTAGGAGATTAAGATTTTGTAGTCGGTCAGTTCCATGGGTGCGGGAAGTAGCAACTAGTAGTGCAAGGCCAGTGCTTGCTTCACAGGCAGAGAAGGCCAGTAATAGTATGGGGGCTGTTGAGAACGATGTTGATTCGAATTGCAGTGTTCACAGGGCTAGTGCAATAAACAGGGATAGTATTATTCCTTCTAAGCACAGTAGCGCGGAGAGTAGGTGGGTTCGATGGAATGCTAGTCCTATTAAGCCTAAGATAAATGCTGAGCTAAAGCTAAAATGTACGGGTGTCATAAGGGGGTCATGGGGTTAAACCATGATTTTCTGAGCCGAAGTCAGAGGTCTTGTTTTGGACTAACCCCCCATTCTGCCCACTCTAGGCCCCCCTGGGTTCACTCGTAGATTAATCCAAGGGTTAGTAAAATTAGTACTGTTGTGGCTCAGAAAAGTGTCTCGGTAGGGTTGTGGAGCTGGTCTCCTCAGGGTAGTGGGAGGAGAAGGGCAATTTCCAGGTCAAATAGGAGGAACATAATTGCCACTAGAAAGAATCGTAGGGAAAATGGCAGTCGGGCGGAGCCTATGGGGTCAAACCCGCATTCGTATGGTGATAATTTTTCTGCGTCAGGGTTTATTTGTGGGAGTCAAAAAGATACAATCGCTAGGACTGAGGACAGGGCTGTTGTGATAATTAAAATAGTTACAACTAAGTTCATTATCTTTCCTTGGGGTTTAACCAAGACTGTGTGATTGGAAGTCACTTGTACTAATTTAAATACTAGAAAGATTATGAGCCTCATCAGTAGATAGATACATAAAGGAAGAGCCACACTACGTCAACGAAGTGTCAGTATCAGGCAGCGGCTTCAAAGCCGAAGTGGTGTTCAGATGTAAAGTGGTATTGGACTTGGCGTAGAAGGCACACGGCTAGGAAGGTTGACCCAATAATGACGTGTAGTCCATGGAAACCTGTAGCTACGAAGAATGTTGAGCCATAGACTCCGTCTGCAATTGTGAAGGGGGCTTCGTAATACTCCGTGGCTTGTAATGCGGTGAAGTAGAGTCCTAGTAAGATGGTTAGTGTTAAGGATTGGATAGCTTGTTTTCGCTCCCCCTCTATAATGCTGTGGTGGGCTCATGTTACTGTGACCCCTGATGCCAATAGAACGGCTGTATTAAGGAGTGGGACTTCGAATGGGTCTAATGGGGTAATTCCTGTGGGGGGTCAGCATCCTCCTAGCTCTGGGGTGGGTGCCAGGCTTGAGTGGTAGAAGGCTCAGAAGAACCCCAAGAAGAAGAACACCTCTGAGGTAATAAATAGGATTATTCCATATCGTAGTCCTTTTTGTACAGGTGGTGTGTGGTGTCCCTGAAAGGTCCCTTCTCGGATAATGTCACGTCATCATTGGTATATGGTGAGAAGTAGGAGAATTAATCCTAAGGTTATTAGTACTGTTGAGTGGAAGTGGAATCAGATTGCTAGGCCAGATGTTATCAGCAAGGCAGCGATAGCTCCGGTCAGTGGTCATGGGCTTGGGTCAACTATGTGATAGGCATGTGCTTGGTGGGCCATTAAACGTTTTCTTGTAGGTAGAGGCTTAAAAGAAGTACGAACACATAAGCTTGAATTATTGCTACTGCAATTTCTAATAGTGTTAACATAAATAGTACAGTGGCGGCCAGGATTGCTACTGCTGGTATTATTGGTATAAGAACAAATACAGCTGTGGCGATAAGTTGAATCAGGAGATGCCCCGCGGTTAGGTTGGCTGTGAGCCGAACCCCTAGGGCTAATGGTCGGATAAATAGGCTAATTGTTTCGATAATAATCAGTACGGGGATTAGTGGGATGGGTGTTCCTTCTGGTAAAAAGTGTCCTAAGGCGATTGTTGGTTGATTTCGTACCCCAATAATTACTGTGGAAAGTCATAAGGGCACAGCGAATCCCATGTTGAGGGACAGTTGTGTTGTGGGTGTGAAGGTGTAGGGTAGTAGGCCGAGTATATTAATTGTGATCAGGAAAATTATTAATGAGGTTAGTAGTAGTGCTCATTTGTGTCCCCCTGTATTTAGTGGTAATATCAGCTGATTAGTAAACTTATTAATAGACCACCCTTGTATGGTGGTGAGTCGATTGTTAATCCATCGAGACGAGGGGGTTGGGTAGAGTACCCAGGGTAGTGCAATTGCGATGGCAATTAGTGGTACCCCCATATATACTGGGCTTGCAAATTGGTCGAAGAAGCTTACTATCATGGTCAGTGTCAGGGCCCAGTTTTGTGTTTTTCAGCACTTACTGGGGTTGGTTTGTTTGGTGAGGTGTGGTTTAAGACTTTAGTTGGGATAATAGCTAATAAAAGTAGTCAGGAGTATACTAGAATTGCAAATCAAGGGTTGGGGTTTAGTTGTGGCATTTCACTAAGGGTGGTATGGAGTCACCAATCTTTGGCTTAAAAGGCCAACGCTTTGTCCAATATTTAGCTTCATAGCGAGGCGTCTTTTAGTATTAATGAGGATCAGTTTTCGAAGTGTTCTAGCGGTACTGACTCAACCACGATTGGTATGAAGCTGTGGTTGGCCCCACAGATTTCAGAGCATTGCCCATAGAATAGCCCCGGGCGTGAGGCAATGAAGGCGGTTTGATTTAGCCGTCCTGGGACTGCATCTATTTTTACGCCCAGGGATGGAACAGCTCAAGAGTGTAGTACGTCTTCGGCGGATACTAGGATGCGGACTGGGGACTCTATTGGGACAACTATTCGATGGTCCGTTTCTAGGAGTCGGAATTGGCCTGGGGCGAGATCCTGGGTCGGTACTATATAAGAGTCAAACCCCAGGTCCTCATAGTCCGTGTATTCATAGCTTCAGTATCATTGATGTCCTATGGCTTTAATTGTTAGGTGCGGGTCGTTGACTTCATCCATAAGATATAAAATGCGTAGAGAGGGCAGGGCAATGAGCACTAAAATGACGGCTGGTAAGATAGTTCATACAATTTCGATTTCTTGAGAGTCTAAAATATACTTGTTAGTAAGCTTGGTTGATACTATTGCGGTAATAATATATAACACTAAAGTGCTAATTAGTAGCACAATTATTAATGCGTGATCGTGGAAGTGAAGAAGTTCTTCTATAACGGGTGATGTTGCGTCTTGAAATCCTAGTTGTGTTGGGTGTGCCATTAGGTCTCAGGCCTAAGACATGTGGGGGTCTAACCTACAATTTCACCTCGACAAGGTGGTGTAATATACATTTTACTAATGTCTTTATAAGGAGGTGGCAGAGTGGTCATGCGACTGGCTTGAAACCAGTATATGGGGGTTCAATTCCTCCCTTTCTCGTTAATTTGATTGAATTTGGACAAATGCTGGTTCTTCGTATGTGTGATAAGGAGGAGGACAGCCGTGTAGTCATTCTACGTTTGTTATTGTTAATTCTACAGATGATACCTCCCGCTTAGCGGCGAAGGCTTCTCATAGAATAAATAGGAACATGATGACTGCTACTAAAGAAATCAGGGATCCGATGGAGGATACTGTATTTCACAGGGCGTAGGCGTCTGGGTAGTCGGAATATCGTCGCGGCATGCCAGCTAGGCCTAGGAAGTGTTGCGGGAAGAATGTTAGGTTGACTCCAATAAACATAATTGAAAAGTGGATCTTTGTTCATGCGTTGTGGAGGGTATATCCGGTTAGCAGGGGAAATCAGTGCACGAAGGCCGCCATAATGGCAAATACAGCACCTATCGATAGCACGTAGTGGAAGTGTGCTACTACGTAGTAAGTGTCATGAAGGACAATGTCTAGTGACGAGTTGGATAAAACAATTCCTGTAAGCCCGCCTACTGTAAATAGGAAAATAAACCCAAGAGCTCATAGTATGGGCGTTTCTCATTTAATTGATCCCCCGTGAAGTGTGGCTAGTCAGCTGAATACTTTTACACCTGTTGGGATAGCAATAATTATTGTTGCAGATGTAAAGTATGCACGAGTGTCTACGTCTATTCCAACAGTGAACATGTGATGGGCTCACACAATAAACCCCAGAAGGCCGATGGCCATCATTGCCCAGACCATGCCCATATAGCCAAACGGTTCTTTTTTACCCGAGTAGTAGGCTACAACATGAGAAATAATGCCGAATCCTGGAAGAATAAGAATATAGACTTCTGGGTGGCCAAAGAATCAGAATAGGTGTTGGTAAAGGATTGGGTCTCCCCCGCCTGCCGGGTCAAAAAATGTGGTATTGAGATTTCGATCTGTTAGAAGCATTGTAATCCCGGCGGCTAGAACGGGCAGGGATAGGAGTAGCAGGACAGCGGTTACAAGTACGGATCAGACGAACAGGGGTGTTTGATACTGGGAGATGGCTGGGGGTTTCATGTTAATGGTTGTGGTGATGAAGTTAATTGCTCCTAGGATTGACGAAACACCTGCTAGGTGAAGTGAAAAAATTGTTAGATCTACTGATGCCCCTGCGTGGGCTAAGTTTCCTGCAAGAGGCGGGTATACTGTTCATCCTGTTCCGGCCCCAGCCTCAACACCGGAAGAAGCTAATAGTAGTAGGAATGAGGGGGGCAGTAGTCAGAAGCTTATATTATTTATCCGTGGGAATGCTATGTCTGGGGCACCAATTATTAGCGGTACAAGCCAGTTTCCAAATCCACCGATAAGAACTGGTATTACTATAAAGAAGATTATTACGAAGGCGTGGGCAGTGACGATAACATTATAAATTTGGTCGTCACCGAGAAGTGATCCGGGTTGGCTGAGCTCAGCTCGAATGAGGAGGCTCAAGGCGGTTCCCACTATTCCGGCTCAGGCACCAAATACGAGATAAAGGGTGCCAATGTCTTTGTGGTTGGTAGAGAAGAATCAGCGCGTGATTGCCACAGGTAGGGTAGCCGAGCGTACAGGCGGTGGGCTGTAGCCCCGAAGACAGAGGTTTAAATCCTCTTCCTATCAGCCCTGTGGTGAAGAACACATCGGATTGCAAATCCTAAGACGTAGACTAATACTCTACCGGGGCTTTCCCCGCCCTACTGGCTAGGCGGCGGGGAAAGTAGGTGGATGCTCGCTGGCTTGAGCGCTTAGCTGTTAACTAAGAGGTTGTAGGATCGAGGCCTTCCCACCTAGTAGGGCCTTAGCTTAATGAAAGTGTCTGGTTTGCAGTCAGGAGATGCGAGTTAATTCCTTGTAGGTCTTAATCGGGGACTAGAAGATTTTCACTTCTATTTAGGGCTTTGAAGGCTCTTGGTCTATAATATTATCCTAAGTCCCCAGGCGGTTAGTATTAGGATGGTTGGAGTTACCGGCAACAATCCCAGGGCGGCTGTCGTAAGCATGGTCAGAGATAAAGAGGTTTGGGTTGTTTGAGTTCGTCAGGGGGTGGTTGAGTTAATTATGTTGGGGGATATGGTTAGTGTTATCGCGTAACACAGGCGCAGGTAGAAGTATAAGCTGATTAGGGCGGCTAGGGCCATGGTTGTGGCGATAATAGGAAGGTCTTGTTTTGTCAGTTCTTGTAAGATTAATCATTTCGGCATGAATCCTGTGAGTGGTGGTAGGCCCCCTAATGAGAGTAAGACTAGGGCGGTTGTTAGTGTCAGGATAGGGCTTTTTGACCAGGTTGTTGCTAGTGTGTTAATTTTGGTTGTTAGTAGTATTTTTAGGGCTAGAAATGCTGCGGAGGTTATGATAATGTATGTTCCTAGTGCAATTAGGGTTAGTTGTGGGGCGTAGTGGATTACAATAATTATTCATCCCATATGTGCAATTGAAGAGTAGGCTAGGATTTTTCGTAGCTGGGTTTGATTTAGTCCTCCTCAGCCTCCAACTAGTGTGGATATGACTCCTAGTAGTGTTAGTAGTGGTGGGTCAATGGTTTGTGCTGTTTGGATAATGAGTGCGAATGGGGCGAGTTTTTGTCAGGTAGACAGGATAAGTCCTGTTAATAGGTCTAACCCTTGTAGTACTTCTGGCATTCAAAAATGTATTGGTGCGAGTCCAATTTTGAGTGCTAAGGCTGTTATAAATATTGTACTGGCGACGGGGGTTGAGAGGTCGTTGATGCTTCACTCTCCGGTTAGTCAGGCATTTGTTGTACTTGCAAATAGGATTATTGCTGCTGCGGTGGCTTGGGTTAGGAAGTATTTTGTAGTTGCTTCTACTGCACGGGGGTGGTGGTGTTGTGCTATTAAAGGGGTGATTGCTAGTGTATTAATTTCTAGGCCCATTCAAGCCAGGAGTCAGTGAGAGCTGGCAAAGGTTAGGGTGGTTCCTAGCCCCAGGCTAGATAGGAGGATTGTAAGTACGAGCGGGTTCATTGGCGGAGGAGGGATTTTAACCGTCATGTTCGGGGTATGGGCCCGAAAGCTTAATTGGCTGACTCCGCCTGGAGAGTGGTGTAAGGGGAGCACCTGGAGTTTTGATCTCCTGAGTATGGGTTCGACCCCCTTCTTTCTAGGAGCTGAGGGGATTTTAACCCCTGTAGTTAACTCTATCAAAGTGGCCCCTGGGCGCTCAGGCACAGTTCCTTGGTTATAGCTGTGGGGGAAGACCTGCTAGTGCAATTGGCAGGGAGGTGTGTCATAATACGAAGGCGAGTGTAAGGGGAAGGAAGTTTTTTCACACTAGGTGTATTAACTGATCATATCGGAATCGTGGGTATGAGGCTCGCACTCATAGGAATATAATGGATAGCAATGCAGCCTTGGTTATAAGGTTAATAGTAGTTAGTTCTGGAATGCTCGGGATGTGTGAGGCTCCTAGAAATAGGACGGCTGATAGGGTGTTTATTAGAAGGATGTTGGCGTATTCGGCGAGAAAGAATAGTGCGAAAGGGCCCCCTGCATACTCCACATTGAAACCGGAGACTAGTTCTGACTCCCCCTCTGTTAGATCAAATGGTGCTCGGTTTGTTTCGGCTAATGTTGAGATGTATCATATTGCAGCTAGAGGCCAGGCGGGGGCAAGTAGTCAGATGCTTTCTTGGGCAATATTAAACGTTTGTAGGGTATACCCCCCCGAAAAAATAATTACTGATAGGAGAATTAGGCCCAGGCTGACTTCATATGAGATCGTCTGAGCTACGGCCCGTAAGGCCCCAATTAATGCGTATTTTGAATTTGATGCTCAGCCTGAGCCCAAAATTGAATAGACTGTAAGGCTTGACAGGGCTAGGATAAATAGGATTCCCAGGTTTAGGTCAGCTACTGGGTGGGGCATGGGTATTGGTGCCCACAGGGTTATGGCCAGGGTTAGTGCAAGTACTGGGGTGGTTAGAAATAGGAGTGGGGACGATGTAGATGGACGTACGGGCTCTTTAATAAATAGTTTTAGTCCGTCGGCAATGGGTTGTAGTAGCCCGTATGGGCCTACTACGTTTGGCCCTTTTCGTAGTTGTATGTATCCGAGTACCTTTCGTTCAATAAGTGTTAGGAAGGCCACCGCAAGGAGCACTGACACAATATAGGTTAGCGGGTTAATTAAGTGGGTAATTAGGGTGTTTATCATAAACTGGGGAGAGGATTTGAACCCCTGGTTAAAAGGGCTTAGGCCTTTCGCAATTTACCATGCTCTGCCACCCCAGTAGGTCCTTATTTTGGTTAGCTTGGGTTTTGGCCCTCCCTTTATTTTATTTATTTGTCTTCATAAATTGGGGTGGGGCGTGCTTTGAGTATGGGCCCCTCTTTTCCGATCCTTTCGTACTAGGAAGAGTGGCGTTACAGATAGAAACTGACCTGGATTGCTCCGGTCTGAACTCAGATCACGTAGGACTTTAATCGTTGAACAAACGAACCCTTAATAGCGGCTGCACCATTAGGATGTCCTGATCCAACATCGAGGTCGTAAACCCTCTCGTCGATATGGACTCTGGGAGAGGATTGCGCTGTTATCCCTGGGGTAACTTGGTTCATTAATCGGTCTTATACTAGCCGGATCGTGCTTGGTCAGATGTTCTGTGGCTTAGAGATGTCTCTCTTGGTTTTAGGGGGTTTATCCCAGTCCATTTGGAGGCTTTTTTTTTCTCCGTGGTCGCCCCAACCGAAGGTAAAATTTCATGTTCACAAAGTTTTTACTTTTTATTGAGTTTATTAACGTGATTGGGTTTTGTACCTTAAGCTCCAAAGGGTCTTCTCGTCTTGTATTATTATACCCGCTTCTGCACGGGTAGATCAATTTCACTGACTTGAAAGGGGAGACAGTTAAGCCCTCGTTTAGCCATTCATACAGGTCTTTATTTAAAAGACAAGTGATTGCGCTACCTTTGCACGGTTAAAATACCGCGGCCGTTAAACTTGTGGTCACTGGGCAGGCTGGACCTCCTATACTTGGTTGCGTTGCAGGAGGCGATGTTTTTGGTAAACAGGCGAGGCTTGTGTTTGCCGAGTTCCTTCCTTTTCTTTTAGTCTTTCCTTTAATAGCACTCCAGTGTGGGGGTAACGATGATTTGGTTGTGGTTTTTTCTTGGTTTTTTTGTAAATCACATTGCTCTCTTGGGTTGAGTTCGTTAGTTGCCAATGGCTAGTCCGGCTTGGCTTACACTTGTGCTTGGAGAAGGGCGGGCCTTCTTGTTACTCATTTTAGCATAATCTCTTCCATGGGGGCATGGGTTGGCCTAATAATATTTAGGGGAATAAGATTTTTTATCAGGATAATAAACTTTCTTCTGTCCGAGCTTTAACGCTTTCTGTTTAGGTGGCTGCTTTTAGGCCCACTAGAACAGCATGTTTTATATATTATGATCTTTATCCTCCTGGAAAGGTTGTGTCCTTTGTTAAAGGGGCTGTACCCCCTTTAACTAACTCTCGTGTGTTTCTCTCAGGGTCTTGTCTGTATATCTGATTCGGGGAGTACGAGGCCGAACTTCTATTCGTTTCTCAGGCAACCAGCTATCGCCAGGTTCGGTAGGTCTGTCACTTCTACCCGGAGCTCTTCCCACTCTTTTGCCACAGAGACGGGTTTGCCCTTAATAGGCTGTCTCGGGGTAGCTCACCTGGATTCGGGGTTTCAAACTAAAGGTCTCTTTGCTTGAATATACTGGCTAAATCATGATGCGAAAGGTACGAGCTTTAATCTTTGCTTTTTAGTGCTTATATGGGTTGTTTCATTTCTCTTTCAGCCTTCCCTTGCGGTACTATCTCTATTGCTTTATAGAACCTTTTCTGTCTCCCATACTCAGGTAAAAGAATGGTTTAGTTTTTGGTGTTGGTCTTATTTTGTTTTATTTATATTGTTTGTTTATTAAGTAGTTAAGCTAGCTGTTTGGTTCAGGGCGACCCAACTTGCATGGATGTCTTCTCGGTGTAAGTGAGATGCTTGACTAGCTCAGCCACGCCCTGGGTTTAATCCAAGTGCACCTTCCGGTACACTTACCATGTTACGACTTGTCTCCCCTTGTCGATACTATTGTATTAGGTATTTTTGGTGCGTTTTGACTGGGGAGAGTGACGGGCGGTGTGTACGCGTCTCAGAGCCGGGTTCAAGGGGACACTCTATTTCCCCTTTACTACTAAATCCTCCTTTGATCACTATTTCATTGTGCATGTCCGTAGTATTCTATACTAGAAAATGTAGCCCATTTCTTCCCACTACATGCGCTACACCTCGACCTGACGTATTGGGTTGTGCCCATTTTGCTTACTTTTATTACCTTCACAGGGTAAGCTGACGACGGCGGTATATAGGCTGGGGCGGCTAGAAGTGGTGAGGTTAGACGGGGGTTATCGGTTTTAGAACAGGCTCCTCTAGGGGGGTCTGAGACACCGTCAGGTCCTTTGGGTTTTAAGCTGACGCTCGTAGTACCCTGGCGGGCATCTGATTGTAGTTGGATGTCTAGGTTTACGGCTGGGCATAGTGGGGTATCTAATCCCAGTTTGTTTCCCAGCTTTCGTGGGGTCGGGTAAATTTACTAAAGTTACTTTCGTGTTAGGGCTTCGGGCACTTAGAAGCGTATGACGGCCAAAGGGCCATTTGACTTTATTTTGTCTGTCCTTAACCACCCTTTACGCCGTTGTAGTATCAACTAGGGCCTCTCGTCTAACCGCGGTGGCTGGCACGAGTTTTACCGGCCCTCTTAACACTAACTGAGTCAAGTTTTCACTTATGGCTTAATGTTTATCACTGCTGAGTTCCCTTGGGGGTGTGGCTTGGCTAGGCGTCTTGGGCTAATATTTGGGCCTGATGCCCGCTCCTTATCCCCGGGCAGGGGATTGAGGGCATATTCACTGGGGTGCGGAGACTTGCATGTGTAAGTTGAGTTAGAGCTGATAGTAAGGTAGGGACCATGCCTTTGTGCATGCGGAGCTTTTTAAGGCCCATCTTAGCATCTTCAGTGCTGTGCTTTATATTAAGCTACGCTAGCTACTAAATAACATTAGAATATTTAGTGCCGGGCTATTTTTGTGAAGTTTTTGGTAGGGGCTGTTAGGCTGTCGGTAAATTGCTGTAATAAAAATTAGTGCATATATATATATATATATATATATATATATATAATGTGGGATGCCAATTTACACCGCAACTCGTTGGCTGATACGTTCTTGAGTCCTCCTTGGTTTCGGGGTTTGACAAGGACAACAGGATTCGCCGAGCGTAGGGGGTAGGGGGGTTTGTCGCGCAGAAACCAAAAAGGGGGGCCACTATGTATGGATAAGTGGGATAAGAGATGTGCATGTTATGCACTTGAGTTAATAATATGTAATTCTTAAGTTATGTCTTACAATAATTAACTTAGACTATCTTATACAGGATAAATGTTCAACCTTGATTCGCATTTGAGCCTGCACTCTGAAATGCAAAATGAGAAGGAGAAAAAAAAGAGAACGTTATGCATTTAAAAGAACGCTTGGCATGGTGGGTAATGAAACGTATGTACTACACCATTAATCAAATGCCAGTATAGTTATCCTTATGGGGAGTTATTATAGTTGTGTACCTGAAATAGGAACCAGATGCCAGTAATAGTTCATATTGTGTTACCCCCACATTTAATGTCCCTGATTCTATCATTCATGATATACCTTTATATAATAAGTTGCTGGTTTCTTACTACATTAATATTTTGCTGTGGAATTTTAACTGAATATTCCAAGGAAAAATTTGAGGTCGATTTTTTAGGGAATAAATATTTTACTCAGTTATAGATAAAATTATTTCTGAGTTTTAATAATGTGTTTTATGCACATTTTAATACTTAGTACTTGCTTTATGGTTAAAATAGTGAAATGGTGATAATACATATATGTACTAGTACATTAATGTAATATTATGCATAATATGTACTACACCATAAAGGGGTGGTCCACCATAAAGGGGTGGTCCACC